TTAATTGGTTCAGGTCCAATATTTAAAATCAGGTTTGCTGTTACTGCATTTAAATAATCTTCTACAGAGTATTCAGGGTCTGTTCCTGTGAAAACCATTAAAGGTTTGTTTGATGTTATTGATGATCCACCCATAAGGTATGGATTCATTGTCATTTGTAATGATTCTGCTGCATTTGGCATTTGAGAAAAATTTGAAAGTTGGTTTCTTGTTATTTCATGTTGTTGGAGATAATATGGGAGTGGTATTTCATTTTGCATTTGTAATGGTTGATACGAGTGTGCAGTCATTGGATTTTGTTGTTGAATTGGTTGAAAAGATTGTGTATTAATTAGATTTTGTTGTTGAATTGGTTGTTGATGTTGTGCATCTATTGGTTGTGGAGAAAAATTTCTATGATTTGTACGTGTTCTCTGTATTCCTTGTCTACGATATTCTTGAGTATTTGGTGCAAATATATCTGGTTGTAAGAAATCATCATCTGAGGATAAATAATCCATTTGATAAGATGTCTGTTTTTTATTTTTATTTTGTTGAAAAAATGGGTAATTTTCACTGTGATCCTGTGGAGGATTTGTTTGGAAATTTATTGAATTAGGTTGGGTCATTGGGTTATCCCAATTTCGAGATCTTGTATATTGGTTAAAATTTCTTTGTGGTTGGTTATATGTTTTTGATGGATGTGTATAATTATAATTATGGTCTGCAAAGTTGTTTCTAGTGAATGTTTTGTGTGTTTTTGATGGTATTGTCATGGGTCTGTATGTTTGGTAATCCATATGTGAATATTTAGGAGCAACCGAAGGTTTAACGGTTGATTGTAAGGTTACCTGTGTTTGTGAAGGATTTGTATTTCTTGGTGTTGTTAAATTTGGGCGTATTGGTGAAATACTTTGTTGTGTAGTTGTTGTGTGTACAATTTCTTCATTTATGAAGTGTGATGGTGTCTGGATATCTTGTTGAGTAAGATTCCTAGTTCCATTGAGGTTTTCATTGTGTATAACTGTAGAGTTTAAACTATTATTTTGTGTATCGGGCAAAAATGTATTATAGTTTAATGGTGTTGCATCAATGGTTAATGGTATTACTTTTACATAATCTCTTATGTAAGATATCGTACTTATTGCTTGACTTGAGATTGATTGTGGGAAGCTTATAAATGCGGGATGAGACCATTCGGGGTCCCAAACATAATCTGATTGTTCTGTGATAGCGGTATCATCGTTCGAGTTTTGGGGTCTAAAATTTTTTCTTGCTTGTGCAATTAAATCAATATTGTGTGTGAAATAATCTATTATGAACCATGCCAAAATTTTTTGTAGATCGTGTTTTGTATGTTGTGAAACGTCGTCTTTCGTGAAATTTTCTTTAATGATGTTTAAATAACTAGAGAGTAGTGTTATTTCATGTCGTACTCTTAAATGTTTAGATGTTTCTGTCGGTGAGACATTTGTTATTGGGATTTCGTTTTCTAATATCGAAATATAACTATATATTATTGCGAAAACTTCATTGGTGAATATGGAGTTTGCTCTTTGTGAGTTATGATATTGGATGCTTTTTATATATTCTGAAAAAACTTTTGAAAATTCTAAATCAAGATCGTCTGTTTGAATTGTATATTTTCTATTATTATGGTTTGGTGAGGTGAATTCTATGGAGTAGATTCCATACTGTTGTGTTATGTTGCATATATCTTTTAAGTAGTGGTCTATGATTTGTCTTTTGATTTTTACATCTGGGAACTCTGTTTTACATGGACTGATTCCGGGTTCAAATAAATTTAATAGTAAATTTTTGCAAAATATGTGCTGTCCTCTATCAGTGGTTGCATCTACTATAAAAGGAAAGATTTCATCATCATCTGGACTTTCTTCACCTGGGGTGTGCGTTGAGCTCATTTTTTCGTTCGATGACTGTTAATATGTAATTATTAATGTGTCGAATTGGTTGATTCCAATTGTATAAATGTACTGGTTTGTGTTTATACTGCTTTTTTATTCTTCTTTTTCCTCTTTTTGATGAATTTGAAGTTGTTTCTGAGTCAGAGAAATATAATTGATCGTGAAGTGGGTAATTTTTATCTATTGATTCTTTTAGTTTGTAAAGTTCGTCTAAACTGTTGGTTTCTGATTCTGAAAATGCGTTTCGATTTTTTGAAAATCTTTTTCGTGTTATTTGTCTTTGTTTCGTTATTATTTTTCTTTTTAGTGTTTGTCGTTTTGTTCGAATGTATCCAACTGTTTGTGTATGAGGTGTGATTACAAGGTCGTATTTTTTGTTATCTATTTCACAATTGTGTAAAACGATTGTTTGTTTATTTCCTAGGTTTTTAAATGACATAAGGTTTAGGATGACGGATGCAAAAGGTTGTTAAATGATTTCTATTTTCCTAAACTGTTAGTTCTTACGATTTTTTGGTTAGCTTAACCTGGGTCTATTTGTTCAGGGTTGGAGAGAAAAGTATATCGCTTCCGAAGAATGATTTTTTACTTTCTCGTGACTAGTATAAGTTAAGGTGTTAACTTACTTAATCTTACTTAGGGGTAGTGATTGTGTTCAAGGGTTGGAGAATAGTAAATCGATCCACAAGGTTCAGGTATAATTAGAACGCGAGTAGTTCGTTAGATACTATTTTAAACTTACTAAGTCTAAGATTTATCCTGGGTCTGGTAAGAGGGGGGGTCAAGTGAAGGATGAATAACCGAAGTTCTTCACTGTTTATCCTAATTTGAATGATTAGTTTTGTTTAAAAATTTCTATTAATTTTGGGTCTTTAGAAAGGGTTGGGTAGTGAATCGACGTTTGAGGTCGTTAGACACTAATTAAGTGGGTGGGGGAGAACAAAGTTGTTCTGTTTGATCCAAGGATAAGCCTTGATGATCAAATTTGAAATTTAATTAAGTAGAAAATGATTTAAGATCCAAGGATAAGCCTTGATGATCTGGTTTTAAAATTAAGTGAATTTAAGTTTTAATAAAATTTTAAATGTGTGTAAAGGAAAGATTTAGTGTTTTGATGATATTAGTGGGTTTATGATTGCTGTTATGTTTTAGGTGATGGAGCTGGAACAACAGGATGATTTATGATTACTAACCATTTATTGTCATGCTACTAATTTTTATTTTTTATTTTTCAATAAATATTTTTCAAACATATTTTGTATACTACTGCAGAGTTTTAGGAAAACGATCTTAGATCTTTTTATCAATCGTTATTGTATATTAATAATTTTGTTTAGCGCCTGAAATGATTTTGAAGATTAACTTCAAGGTTTTATGTTTGCAAATGAAAATCTAAATTCATTGCCAGTAGTATTCTAAATATAAAAGTTTGTTCTGGCTTTTGCCGAACTATCATATAGCTATATGGCAAGTTTCTACTTTGTCGTATGTCGTCTCTGGTTCGAGGTCTTCTTCCAATTCCGGGTAGTTCTGTTATGGTTCGGAATATTGGCTCTGATCTATTGAGTCGTAGAGACATTTCGATTAAATTATTGTCGTATAACATTTTGTAAATGTTTTTGTCTAATTTCTAATCTATTTTGGTTAATTCTAAGCTATTAAGGTCTTGTTCGAGACTTATGGTCGCACCAGATGAGTTAGGACCGAGTTGGTTAACTCATAGAGTAATTTCGGATAGGGTACACCGTCTGCTCGTCACGCTATCTTATTTTCGGCCGGATAGATTCGTGCAACTTCTTAGTCTAATACCGATCCTAATCTTACTCTTATACTATCTAGTCTCAGGTTGTTTAACTAGTCTCTGCTAGGCTCAATAGATCTAGGGTATACTGGTTTATTGCGGCTGCTGAAGTGCTCGGGAGAGTCCAACTAATTTCTAAGTTAAATTCAAATCTCTCTGGTGCTGAAATTACAAGTAACTTCAGCACTTACAAATAAGTGGGTTGTTAGTTAGATGGATCATGATTGGTTAATATTAAATACTTTACATTGGTAAAATATCTAAATTATCCAATCATAAAATGTAGTCTAGATCAGGTTCCAAAATCTCACTTTTTTACTTTCTTTACTTTTTTCAGCTTGATAGGTTTCGCAGTGGCCGCAACTTGCGTTATAATGTTCGCCGAGCCAGAAATTATTTTTGTTTGTGTGTGCTTTGAGGGCCAGGGGGACTGAATAACTGTTTTTTAGTCTAATTTTTTTTTTGAATTTCATTACGGCTTTTCAATTTTGCTTTTTTCGGTTTCATAGGTTTCTGCTTATATTATATCAGCTTAATGGTCTCACATTGCGTCGATCAACGAGCGAAAAGATTTTTTCTAACCACTTACAAAACTTTTTTCGATGCTTATCTTACATATTTTTGTATTGGCATGTTATGCTTTCAAAATTAACTTTATTCATTTTGATAAATCAAACCTAGTTTTTTGGGTTTTCGATTTTTTTGACTTTCTTCACCGGCCTTCTCGTTTTGTATTGCAAAGGATGTGAAGATCAGCTTCGCTTCTGTGTTAAAAGTTTCATTTCACAATTTTTTGAATCTTGAAAAACTTTATTTTTGTTGACCTATTATTTCTATCTCCCAAATGTGTAAAGCAAATATTGTAATTTTTTGATATTCCGATAATTTTTATGATTGAAGTGATTGATCTTCAAAATTGTAAACAATTCAAGTTATTTTCCAATTTTTCCGCCGACGTTTTTCAACATAATTTAATTTAGTTTTTTTTCCAAGTATCTGGGATCAACAAGAGACATGGATATTCTATTGATAATGAACATAAAACAGTGTTTAATCTGATCAAAACCTTTCAAAAGGAATCTAACAAACTACTCGTATCTTAAAGAACTCTCCTGAGTCGATTTATTTTTTGAGAGTATGACTTTTCATCCGCTTTAAATTTTTTTTTGAGCATCGGTGTATACATTTGAATCGCAAGTCTGGCTAAGCTCCGCTTTGTCTCTGTGTTTAAGTAGTTATTTGTTAGCCGATGGTTTTCCCATCAACTTAAGAAACCTTGCTTCTCCTGAACTGACCGAGACTGTCGTCCCACTGAAACTGCTGCAGCCCCGCATTGCTTCTGTGATTATTGTGGTACTGCAACGCATATTGTTCCACACTGTTACTCCCCACAACACTCACGTGCAGCGCCACAACAAACAACACAGACAAACACCAGGTCGGCAGGGGTGCAGCACACAGCACTCCAGTCCATCTAAAACAGCAAACAAGACTCATTGCAGCAAACTTGTCAACCGATCCACTCACAAATTCTTCTCATTCATTTAAAAGCAGGCAAAAAAGCTACTTAAAAAACAAAAAAGGGCCTTATTCAATCGTTTTTTTGCGTTCGTTCTCAATGAATCAAAGTGTTACGGCGTTGAATTTTTGTTTATAGTTTTCCCCATGCAAAAATTTGGATGATTCGTTTGAAAAAAGGAGGATAAAGCGATTAATTGGCAGGCATTGATTGAAATAGGAAAAGTAAACAACTGGGAATGAGTGACTGACCTGAAGGATGATTGGCAGAAAGAGAGTTTGTTCATTTTCGGTTGGATCTGACGATATCTCTGTTTGTCCACTAGTTTAAGAGATCAACTGTGAGGAATAAGGAGGGAATAAGAAGAGAGAGAGAGAGAGCAAGAGAGAGCAAACTGATTCGTCTGGAGGTGAGAGTGGAAAGTGAAGCGACTTCTAATCTCTTCTCTGTTTTCTCTCCTTTTTCTGCAGTCCACGAATGAAACGAACGGCGATTGTTGCCCCGCTTTTTCCAGCCAGTTACTCATACGAGTTGCATGTAAAACTGGCTACATGGATTCTAATCTGTGGATTCCGGAAGTCACGATTGGTTTGAATGGAAAAGTCAAGCAGCTGGTGGCGGACTAAAAAGAGCTGAAGAGAATCCACTTGTTGTATTTGTAACCTTCTAATTAGTCACTTGACTTCTCTTATTCTGTTACAACATTATATAATTTCTCACAAAGTAACCGAAATAAATTATATCCATCATTGATATTTTAGCAACAAATTTAATTCGCTCTGATTTAATTTTCTGATTAAAGCTTCACCGGATTAGGTTATCAGAAGAAAGCAAAGTTTCCTCTCGACTGTGTGTTGTGAGAGGACAGACAGTCAGACAAATAGATCTACTGTAGTGTTTCTCCCTCTCTGTGTGAGAGTGTGGGGGGATGAGGCGGCGAAAGAAGAGATACTCTCTGCTGGTGTCGCCCGCCGCAGTCTTTCTGCTCCTAGTGTGAGTCATGCCCTCAGTCAAAAGGAGGGAGAGGGGGGTTGCAGTTGTTGAGGTGTTCAAGTAGGGACGAGTTTTAGGACGGCGTTGAGTCCCCCTCCTCCTCTCTATGAGCCTTACATCCTTCATCATTACCCCTTTCGCACTATTTTTCGCTCTGAGTGCTCAATCTTCAAAACTTGCCTGTCGGGCCTAAACGCTTACCAAACGACTTTGTCTTTTCAATGTGTTTCAGGAGATCCAAGGAACACTTCTTGGCTCTTTTTCCTTTTCCCCCACTTGCAGAGTTTTTAGAGTAATTTTTCTGTTCACATTGTCGGATTGTTATAAAAATTTGCGGGGTGAAGGAGGAGAGGGTGTGAAAAAGAGCTCATTTCTCTTACCCTTAGAAAGCAAACGGCAATATCTTCGACTATTTTTGAAAAATCGCTCCTGCCTCAAAGATAATACGATACGATCCCCCACCTGGTTGAGGCGGTCGATTTTAAATAAGTTGTCATTATTAAATCTTCATCTTTACTTTCATAAACCTAATGCTCTATTTCTATAAATTTTGGCCCGTTATTTCTAGCCACAAAAAATTTATTGCTCCTTCCAAACAAGCGGCAGAAAAATCTGTCAAAAAAGTTTTTTCCGGTTTTTGGCTCATCAAAGCATGAGCTCCATCAGTGGCGGTTTAGGGAGGGAAGCCAGCGACGCTCAACCCCCATCCCCCCCCCAAAAAAAACATTTTTACATTTTTAAAGCCAAATTAATTCCTGATAACGTTTGTGGAATGCGCGAAAATCGATTTGGTCATACCATTAAAAAAAACTCTTAACAAAATTTTAACATCTTTTGAAAGTCCGCTCCTCCTCAAAAAAACCCTAGATGGCGCCTCTGGCTCCAACAGTTGAGTTTTTTGTTATAAGAGGCATTATTTACATTTGTTAAAATGAAAGTCCCAGTACTGAAGTCGTTGGTAGAATCAGACCTGATCACCGTAAATTGTCATATGTGAGTCATGCAAATGACCACGTAGATCCCATCATCAATTAGTCTTCATCAGGTCCAAATAGTGCTGCATTTAAACAATGTTACAATTAGGGTTGTGCAGTTATTAGTAGGTTAAATTTGTTTGCTGGTAAATTACTAGTAAGTTACCACTTTTTTACAAGTAAGTTACTTTTACTTACTAGTAAGTTTCAAAAACTCAGAGTCTGCTTGAAAACTACTAAGTTTGAAGGTTATTCATTTTACACAAACTGAAAATCAGCGAAACAATCGGGCCTAAGAAATTGGACGATTAGCAAATTAGACGGATGCTACAAAAACTAAATTAGACGGAAATTTTTACAGATCTGGCATTTTAGACGTCACTGCTACGAAACGGAAAGGGACAGCAAAATGTTTCCTTAAAGGTCAAGCTTCACAAATACAAAAAGAATGTTAAATGAGAGAACCTATCGAACAATTAATTTAAATGAATATAAAATGTCAAATCCAAATATTACAGAAGAGTTTTGAATTGAATAAATTATGCATAATTGACATGTAAAAGTTTTGGCTACCGAAATTTAACTGTTGTCTGCTAACAATTTTGTTTTTTTAAAAACGCAATTTGTCGGCAAACAATTTTAATCTCTCTTACTTTCGTCTTTTTCTCACAATTGCAGTTTTGCAAAAATGTCTAATTTCCTTTTCAGTGCCTCCGTCTAATTTGCTTATCGTCTAATTTCTCAACCCCCAAATAGTCATTATGATCAGTATTATCAAGTAAAGCAGCGTTGAAGTATAAAAAAAACAAGCTTATCTGCTCTTTCAACTAATAACTGAGCCTCATTTCTTTCAAAAATTTCATTTTGGTTCAAATTATTAGAAAAAAGCCTTATTTTACTTGCTAGTAAGTTACTAGTACATTTACCAGTAACTTACTTACTAGTAAATAAATCCGCATAACCCTAGTTACAATGTCAGGTATGAAGAACAAATCTGTTCAAATAGTTGGCTTGTTCGCCATGCAACCTTTCCTTTCAATGTGGCAAAGTAGAAAAAAGGCTATCAGAACATTTTAAATTTCATGCTTTAGCTTGTAAAATGTTACTCCTTAAAATTGGTAATTATGTGAGGTGCGGGAGAGCAAAAGTTATCCAAAATAATACAATTGCTATTCTTTTTTTTTGCTTTTTATCTTAATTTTCTTGTCAAAAAGCTCTGGTGCTTGAACGCCAATAGGTTATTCTTTTTTTTGCTTCGATTTTTAAGAAAAGTTAGCATCGTAAAGATAAAGCATCATAAATAATTACGACTTTTTTGAAAAGTTTTGACAAAAACATTGTTTCACATTTTTTCGGTAATCGTGACACTCCTATCGGCAAACAATGAGAAGTCGAATTGAAGGAATTTCATCTAGTTTAAACTCAAACTTGTCCCGATCCCTTTTTGTATGACGTTTTTTCACATAAAAGTCATTCAAATTATACGCGAATATATTCTGATTTTCATTTTATATACTATTTTTTGAATTTTTTTTCGGAAACTCATGGACCTGGATAACAGCTCTGCTTTTTTGTAGAAATGTTGATCATAATGGGTTTTTATTTTATATTTTTAATTTTTGAATTTTTTAATATTAAATTATTTTATATTTTTTATTTTTTATTTACCCTAAATTTAAAAAATGCTACTTTACTCAGGACTGTGCCATTTTTGTATGTCATGACTTTCTATGTATCATTTATCTGACAAAAATTTGTGGCTAAAAAAATTTGGTTTAATTAAAACGAAAGCGCTTCCTAAGCAAGAATTTGTCTTAGCTTAACGCTACCTAACCAAAACTTTTTTTTTTCCAAAAACATTTTAAAATAATTGTGCAAAAAATTTAAACACTAGAAGAACGTTCTCAATATTTGTTTTTTTAAATCATTTTTTGGACAAAAGGAAATCGATTATGCATAATTTATTAATTTTCGCCACGTTTGTTTTTTTTTTATCACATTGCTTACAAACAACGACTTCAATTTGAGAAAAGGAAAGAAAAACATTTTTTTTTCTACAGTTTTTCTTATAAATATGGTCGGAATATTCTGTGCTACTTGCACAGCAGCCGGCAACTCTGTCCTTTTTGCACAGCAACTTTAAGGAATTTTCGGGATTTTACCCTAATACGAGCCCCTCTGGTTTATTTTGGTTAGTCTGCTCTTTTTGCAGGCTTGACAAACTAAAACCACTGAAACATGTTTTTACACAGTACTCATTTATTTGAATGCAGTTTTTAAAGATCATAGAAGTTCTAGAATTTCATACAGGTTGTCCAATAATGATTGGGAAATTTCATTGCCAAAAAATCTTAGTTTTTTTCGGCTCAGTAGTTTTAGTTAATCATACCAAGATGAATTAAACTGGTTTTCAATATGAAAGACACTGAAAACCAGTAAGAAATGCAGGGGACTGTGGGGTTGACGCTTCCTTTTTTCTCAGGAATTTGACCCCCTGCTGACCCAACGCAGGGGATTGAGTAACTCTAAAATTTTTAAAATTTTGGCTGAATGACCTTAAAAATTTTCTAAAGGCACCTTTGCTGCCAGAAAATTCTAACATTGAGGGGGAGCGCGCGCCACAAAAAACGCGATTTTTCGGTCAAAACTTACCAAAAGGTGCCTAATACGCCTTTTTAGCCTGTTTTTCCCAAAAATGGCGGCGCAGAATCATAATCCAAATTGGGTCTTTTAAGTCATTTGGGAGTGCTCAAAAAATTCTTTTCGTCAATCTGAAATTAATATCGACAGAAATTTCGAATTTTTATTTACAATCCCCACCCCCTCGAGAAAATCCTGGATTCGCCTTTGAAATGACGGATTATTTGTGCTCGGGTGGTTTTTTTCCGAGCAATTTTGGCTTTTAAACGAGTGATTTTTTGATTGAATGTAACTTTTGATACGAAAGTAACTGAATACTTGTGCTCGGGGTGGTTCTTTTTTTCAGGCAATTTTCGAACTTTTAACTAACCTTTTTTGACGGAATTTTTTAATATCATTCAAAAGGTATTGTTGTCCTAAGCCCATTTTTGTAAAGTTATGGGGGTTTAAAGATTGCTATTCTGGCCAATTTGGGACAATTAACGCGCGATCCATTTCGCGCTATCGACGCGTAAGCGGAGAGTTAATCCGTCTTAGAAATCGTTCCAAATTGGTTGAAAAAAGCTTATTTGCCATAATTGATTTGTTACAAGGAGCGAAAATTATGCTTGTGTACTTCATAGCGGCGTGTGGGGGGATGATTTTCATAAAAAATTTCAAATTTACAAAAAAAATTTATCATTTTTTATACTTATTTTTTTAATGTTATTACTGCCCCATAAACCCTAAAAGGCAGTCGGAACAATCAGGGCTTCGCCCTAATACGAGCAACCTTGTTACAGATTTATAATTGCTTTCAATTTTGGCTTAAGTTTCGTTCTATTATCCCACCAAATTAGATCTATAGCGTATATGATCAAGCATCAAAATCTACTTCCTTTGAGAACAATTTGAGCATGCTTAAGTTAAACTTTCTTAATTTTGAAAAAAATGCTGCTTTACTCAGGACTGCCATTTTTGTATGTCATGATTTTCTATGTATTATTTATCTGACAAAAACTTCGTGGATAAAAAAATTTGATTTAATTAAAACGAAAGCGCTTCCTAGGCTGAAATTTAACTTGACTTAACGCTACCTAACGAAAACTATTTTTTTCCAAAAAAATTTAAAAAATATTTTGAAAA